GCGTGGCAGCATCCGTCCTTTTATCTCCAAAACCCCACTAACGAGCCCCAGCTGCATCGTTAATCTTGCATTCTGAAAAGACTGCTGCTGAATCACAGCAATACTGTATCTAAAATCTCTGGGCTGAGAAAGCAAGAAGCAGGGATGGGCTGTTGAGGGTTTGCAGGGGTTCGGGAGAACCTCTAGCTAAGATTCTGTGCAGTTTGGAGAACCCCCAAATCCTACTCCTGGCTGGCCCTGCCCGCTGCTCCCCTTCCAGGAGTCCCCATGCTGCCCATTTTGGATGCATGTAAGTGCAGGGCGCGCATGGAGGCTTGGGGAGGGCGAAAAATGGTCCTACCAGAAATTCTGGAAGGCCGGAAATGGGCCCCTTTCTGGCCTCTGGAGCCTGGGGAGGCTGTTTTCGCCCTCCTGGAGGCTCAAGGAAAGCCTCTGGAGTCCTGGGAGGGCAAAAATGCCCCCCCCTGCCATGGTGCAGGAGACCGACTAGGCCATGCCCACCATGGTGGCCGTGTCCACCCAGCAACCGGGCAGAAAACCCCTTGCTAAAATTTTTGAAGCCCACCCCTGAATAAGAGGAGATTTCATATGCCAGTATAAAACATCATACAGTCAAATTGGGAAAATAAGAGTAGTGGGCATTTTATCTCAGCAATAACAGGTAGTTTGAAATATTGATATAGAAAACCTTCATTATATCAAGAGTATTGGAACGTCCCAGTGTCATTTGTATATGAGACGGGTGGTAAACAAATTTTACAAATAAATAAATATAGGAAAAAGACAGAAGTGTGAGCCAGGTTCTCTGTCTTGGAATTCCCACCCCAATGAGAAATGGATAGTCTCAAATACAAGAACAGCTATGTGCCACATGATTGGGCAAACTTGTTTAGTGTTGTTATTTCTACCATTTTCTAGGAATCAAAGCTGCAGATGCCAAAGAGCTGAAGTTAATGGCATCCCAGCCCTCATTGAACCATGTTTTTAATGTGGCCAACTTTGATGGTATTGCGGATATTCAGAATGAAATTATCTCACAGGTGTGCTCGGGAGTGGATGAACAGCTGGGTGACTTGGTTAGCGGAGAAGAAGGTATTTTTTTGAAGTATCACTGTAATTAACTTCATGCTTAGATAAATATATAGCTGTAATAATGTGGGACAGCAAATGTAACACTTTCTTTTTCCTGACTAATATTTCTGCTTAGCAAGGCAATGAGGATTTGGTCTACCATAAAGCACTTTTGAAAGAGCAGTAAGGTAGAGATTGAGGTTCCAAGGCTGCCTGAAGTTTCTAAAATATATAACAATTATATAATATTTGTTACTTATTGTAGGGAATAGGTAACCCTGCCAACAAAAGTGTGTATAGTCAAGGCTACGGTTTTCCCAGTTGCAATGTATGGCTGTGAAAGTTGGACCATAAGAAAGGTTGAGCACCAAAGAATTGAGGCCTTTGAACTATGGTGCTGGAGAAGACTCTTGCGAGAGTCCCTTGGACTCTCAAACTGGTCAGTCCTCGAGGAGATCAACCCTGATTGCTCCTTAGAAGGCCAGATCCTGAAGATGAAACTCAAGTACTTTGGCCACCCAATGGGAAGGAAGGACCCACTGGAGAAGAGCCTAATGCTGGGAAAGTTTGAGGGCAGAAGAAGAAGGGGACGACAGAGAAGGAGGTGGCTTGATGGAGTCACCAAAGCAGTAGGCGTGAGCTTATATGGATTCTAGAGGATGGTAGAGGACAGGAAGTCCTGGAGAAATGTTGTCCATGGGGTCGCGATGGGTCAGACAGGACTTCACAACTAACAACAATATTGTAGGGAAAAATAATTAAATACAGTAGAATAATCATACCACTTAATTAGCTTTAGTTTTAAATTAACCCAGGTTAATTTTTCCTTGACCGGTTTTGAAACTTAATTTATCATGCTCAGTGGTTGGATGGTTTCTTCAGTTGACCTCTGACCACAGTGCCATTAAGGAAACCATCAATGAACTCAACCATATCGGATACTTTTTGTTCTGTATCCAGCCTTTTTTAGGGAAGATAATTTGAGAAGGTTGCACTCGAATTACAGAGAAACTGGAGGATGTAGATTTTCTGGACCACTTCCAGTCAGGTTTCAAGCCTAGGTATGGGACTGGGATTGATCACACTTGTGGATTACTTCTGTCAGAAATGGGATAGGTGCAATGGGTCTCTGGTAGCTGCACTTGATATCTCATTGGCTTCTGGCACCATTTAATAGAGTACCATTGTCAGCTAGCAAAAAAAAAAAAAGGTCTGGATGAATATCACTCCTGAAAATGTCCAATTGGAAGTTTTTTGTTTGTTTCTGGGATTTGTATATTCACTTTCCAAATTTATACTCATTTAGAAAGCCATGTGGCAGTGATTAAATGTAATGATCAGTCAAGGAGGGTTCCTTTTAATTATGTAAAGAGACCATTGAAAGCTTATTATTATTATATACTACAGTCCCATGCATATCTGCTCAGAATTAAGTCCCATTGTCTTTAATTGAACTCTTATGAAGATCTGTTAAGTAGTCAGGAATTTTGGGGAATAAGTTGCACTGAACTCAGCATCACTAACTTCTGAGTAAATATAGAGAGACTGACTTCTTTTTCATCATCTATGAGGTACCAATGTCCTTCCAACTGTACAGGACAAAAAATAGTCATAATTCAGTCTACTTTTATTTGTAACTTTTGTTCAGTTCATAGATTAATTCTCTAATAGATTGACTAGAAAAACGATATCATTTGCTCTAGTATCTATTTACCCGTGGGCTATTTTGGGGGTAGGTATATTTAGCATTAATCTCTTTGCTCAAGGAGGACATATTTATGACTGCATTTTTGTTCATTTTACAGCGTTAGAACCGCCTTCAAATCTGGCAGCCTCACAAATCTCATCAAGAGCTATCAAAATCACTTGGGATCCATCCCCTAGTGACATAACTGGTTATAAGGTGGACATTATTCCAATGATAGCTGATGCCAAACAATTCTCAATGAATGTAGGACCACAAACTACTGCTTTTAACGTAAAAGATCTCTCAGCAGACACAGAATACCAAATTAATGTATATGCCATGAAAGGACTGACTCCAAGTGAACCAGTGTCTATAATGGAAAAAACACAGCCAGTGAAAGTTCGAGTCGGTGAGTCATTGTCCTTGAAATGATCTATTGTATGTCAGTGGCAAGTCATGCAAAATTAAAATTCAGTTCAGTTTATTGTATTTGTATGCTGCCCTTTCCCCCCGAAGGGGAACTCAGAAAAATACTGCAGGGAAAAATAATATCTTTTTTTTAAAAAAACTTGTTGCATGGATTTTTGATAAGCTGATAGAAACATTTGAGACCCAGCATTCTGAAATGAAATGAGGAATAAATCAAACCTTCCGCACCATGGCTGGACAATTCCATTCTTGGGCAAAAGAACCTATTCAATCTTTATGGCCTATTGAGGCCTGCACCCAAACTGTCATGATAGCAATTTTCAAAAGCATTTATAGAGTCAAAAAGGACCAGCCTAAACATTTTTTGAAGGTAAATTATGTTTTAATAAATTAGAATATATGTTATAATGAATTTATAGACTTGACCCTACAAAATGCGGGGATGGTACTATATTCAATTAAAAAAAAAAGAATATACACAGATGTACAAAGAATCAGTCAAGGCCCAACCTATGTTTGAAGTAAAAAATAAATGTCAGGAAATTTAGGGCTCTCTCACATCCCTCTATTTAAGGTGCAAATATATTCCTATAACTGGTTTTTTTTTGTACCATATCCTCATGATGTTGCTTTTGTCTCACCCAAAATCACAAGCTGGGGCAGCTTGAAGCTATCTTTAACTGTTCTGATTTTAAAGAGGTCCCCCCTCCCCTTGTTTGCCACACACTTCAAAAATAATGTGGTTACTGAAGTTGGGAACTTTCTAGAACCTATTGACCATTTTTGCTTTGTATGGGCACACCTTCTTTCCTGTAGTCTGTACTGGTTTTGATCATTTTCAGCTTTGGCTGTAAAGAAAGACCTTTATACTTGTCAGGTCTTAAACAGGCCTCTTATACACACAAACAGACGGCTCTTTTGAAAGCATTCTAATGTGGTTGATTGGCTGTGATTTCTGCCCGTTATTTTCCTCTAGCTATGGAACGTCTCTTACTCCAATCTTGTTTAGATTGGAAAGAAAGAGATCCAAGCAGAGTGTGGTAGAAACCCTGGAAGACAGAAAGGTAGGGAGATGACCAGTGAGTAACAGAAAACCAAGACTGGACTCTCCAAAGTCATAGAGGACCAACTGAAGTTTATTCCTCCCAGGCTTTTTAACATTCAGATTCAGGATCATGAACAAAAACAAGCGTTCTAGAGTCTTAGAAATCCAAGAACTCAAAGTAACTTTCAAAATAAATTTTCACACTAAGAAAGCATACAAGTTTGGCAAACTTGATCTCCTGCTCTCAGGCCAACAGTCTTAATAAACGGTTCCACCACAAATGCGCGAACGACAAAAGCGCGCCTCACTAAATTGCGGTGACAAAACCGCGCCGACAAAACCGCGCGACGAAGGAGCGAAGAATGACCCCTGAAGCGCGCCAACAACAGCGTGCCGACAGAAGCGCGATGTAACCTAACCCTAAACCTAACCCTAACCCTAACCCTAACCCTAACCCTAAACCTAAACCTAACCCTAAACCTTACCTTAACTTA